CTATAGCAAAAAGGTCTCAAAAAAAAAAAAAAGAGATTAAAAAAAAATGCATCATGACTTTCCAGATGACCCAATAGATCAATGACTCCTCTGCTTTCTCAGGGATCATCCTTGAGTTTTATTCATTCTACTTTTAAACAAATACGTTCATTAAGATTCTTTTTTTTAAATTTTTATTTCAAGTTCTTTTATACATTCAGTCACGTTATTTAGCTTGCAAAGTGACTAATCCAACATGTGTACATTTCTCACCAGTCCAGTTGATAATACTATGAAGTTATCTTCAACATATAATACTCCATTTCTTTGTCCCATGAATACTTTGCCTCTCTATTTTTCTCCTTTATGTCCTTCCTCAGACTCTACTCCTTCACCCATCCTCTTCCCACACTATATCTGGTATTAACAAACATTTACTGTGTTTCTATATCCTTTGTCATTCAGTTTCAATCATACAGTGTGGACACTGGTTATATATTAAGTGGAGATATACAATGTCTCTCATTCATAGCCTGACTTGCTTCACTCAGCAGTAGATCTTCAATAGTCATCCACTTCCTGTCAAAAGCCAGGGTCTTGTTTTTTATGACTGAGTAGTATTCCATAGAGTATATGTGCCACACTTTTTCAATCTGTTCATCTGTCCGTGGGCATTTGGGTTGGTTCCATGTCTTAGCAATTGTGAATACTGCTGAATAAATACTGATGTGCAAGCACTTTTCTGATTAAGAATTCTTCTGTCCTTTGGGTAGATACCAAGGAGTGGGATTGCTGGATCATATGGTAGTTATATTTGTAGATTTTTGAGGACTCTCCAAATTGTTCTTCACAGTGGCTAGACCAATTTACATTCCCATGAGCAGTGTAAGAGAATTCCCCTTTCACCACATCCCCGCTAGCGCTTATCTTTTTTTTTTTTTTTTATCTTAATCATTCTGACTGGGGTTAGGTGGTATCTCATTGCTGTTTTAATCTGCACTTCCCTTATGAGGGATGTTGAGCATTTTTTCATATGCCTTTTAGCATCCTTAGACAGTGTTTTTTTCAACTCATTTTCCCATCTTTTGATTCTTTTTAGATGTCTCACCTTTCACTCCCTGACATCATCTTTGTTCAGGCCTACTGATCTCAGATTTAACTTTTTGAGTTACAGGGAAAAGACCTATGTCTATTGATATATCCCCATATCTAGCACACTGTTTGTTAAACAGCAGCTATTCAGTAACTGTTTGTTGAATAAATGAATGATGAATTAGTAAATGGATTTGTGGTAGTCGTGGTAAGCTACCTGCCGTTTTCCTCTCTCTAGACTATGCTCTTTTGCACCTACTCCACATCCAGAATTTCTAGGTGAATTTCTATGAAATGTCATTTCTGTCATGTGACAATTTGACACAAAAAAATACTTCAAAGGCTTCTACTTTCTAGGAAGATGTATTTAAACTTCACTATCTAGTAATAAACGCTTCCCCTACCTTTACCTATTAAACTCTTTCTCACTTTACCTATTCTGTTGTTTCTTTACTTCTTTCCTCTGAGCCCACGGGTCCTTGCAGGTGAACAGGCCTCCCATGTTTACTCCCTACATGGTTCATCATTCATGCTGTTTTTTCCTTTTCAGAAAGTGCCTTTGCTGCATGCTTGGATCCAAATACTTGACCCTTGAAACCTGACTATAGAGTGGTTTGTATTAGCCTTTCGATGTCCTGACTCCTGCTGGATTTACATCACCTTTTGATCCTGTGTCCTCATGCACTATTGTACTCAGTTTGTCTTTCTAACTAGACTCTAAGATCCTTGAGGTAGTCACCTTCTTTTGAATTCCACAGACCACTAGCCATGGTGCTAGCACACAGTACAAAGCCATTTTAATGCTTTTTGACTTGAATTAAACATAAGCTGAAAATGATCTAATTGTGGAAGGCCACATATTAGATCTTGCACATGAACAGCTATTCGTCCATTTTGTTCCCTTACCCTAACACGGCTGTCTGCTTCTGTAAACCTGCTTGCTCTTCCCATGAGAAAATAGCTCGTGCTAGCCATACAGAAAACGGGGACGACATCCTGTACCTGCTACTGTCTTTGCTAATTAGCCCGAAACCCTTTTGTTTAGCAATGTAACTGCTTGCGTGGAAAGCCCACTCCCCTCAGAAATAATTAACTTGCTTGATTCAAGCTTTTGTAACTGCTTGCATAGAAACCCCTGGCAACTGACTCCCTATAAAAAGACTACTCTAACTTCAGTCGGGGGCTACAGTTCTGACTCTCAGCCCCCGCACCTCAGGCTGTAGTCGCTGGCCAGCTAATAAAGACTCCCTTTAAGCGTAATCTGGCTTTGGTGGTCATTCATTCGGAGGCACTCTACAACTAATAAAGGAAGCCCAAGTAAGGACAAGAGGGGAGAGAAGACCATGGATCTGTAGAGTCATCATACACCCAGACATTGATTGAGCTCAGGAGTGTTAGTGTGTTGATACTGTAAAGAAATAATATTGGGGCCAGCCCATGGCATGCAGGTTAAGGCAGCTGAATCCCACATGGCCAACTGTGAAGTTTGAGTTTGGGACCTGTAGGCTTGAGAAACACACCAGGCACACGTGTGTGCATGCTCAAAATCTTGAGAAGAGGGAGAAATTGAAAGGATTGTGGCATGATCATTCCCCACAGGGGTTGTTTTCTCACTTTCTAACTCTCTAACACTCTCTCTCTCTCTCTTTCCAGTGAGCACATGTACTCTGAGAAATTAAAAAAGAAAAAAGAAAAAAAAGAAAGAGAAAAGAAATAATAGTAACAGATAGTGTTTCTCTATCATGATTACATTACTTAGACATTCGCAACATTCTGGAATGACTTCTGTGTTTCCCAACTACGGCACCTCATGTGATCATATCAATAATTTTCCAGGAAGACATAAGTTAATTACTTGTCATTCTCCATTTTCTATCATTCTCCATACTTTCTAAGAAGCGCTATGAAGGTAATCACAAATAGCCTATTCTGGTCTCTGCACCTCAGTGCTCAACCCTTCTACTTTGGCTAGTTATTTTAACATGGACAAGAAAAGATTGAACTTGAAGAACATTGAGAGCTGAGGGAATCGGGGTTCTAGTGCTGGCTCTATTCACCACTTCTAGGATCTTGGTCAAGTCTTTTTACCTCTATGATCTTGTTTTACACATTTATAAAGTGAGGATAACATTTGTCAAGCCTGAAACATAGTTATTTTAAGGATCAAATGAGATCACATACAGGTAAATACATCTGATATACCATCTATGGAAGGGATTAAGTATTAAGGGATTAAGTCCCTACCATGTTCAAGACACTGTGGTAAACTATGACTGCTGAGACGTATGAGAATTGGTCACTGCCCTTGGGAGCAATGGAAGGCAACTACCAGTATGATATAATAAATGACCTATCTCAAATAAGTTGTACAGGTACTGAATGCTCTGAAAATAAAGGGATAGTTTAAAGCCAAAGTCTAAGAGAAAAGATGGACCAAGGCTGGCTTATGAAGAAAAACAGAGGATATGTGTCCTCCTACATCATCCCAGTGGTCCCCACCCGCTGGTATTCAGGGCTTGTGTATTCTCTTCCCATTGAGTGTGGGCTGTATAGACTGGCTCAATTCTAAAGAACAGAATGAAATATAAGTAATGAGATTAGGTTTCCTGAATTAGGTTTCCATCTAGAACATTCTCTTCCACTCACTGGATTTCTCTCAAGTCACCCACCAGCTGCCATGCTGTAGAAATGCTTAGTCTAGGAGAGACCCACGAGGTGAGAAACTCGGCCCTGCCAGTAGCCATGTAAGTGAGCTTGGAAGTAGAGCTCTCCCCTACTATTGAGTCTTCAGATGAGATTGCCCCAGCCAACACTTAGACTACAGATCTGTGAGAGACCCTAAGCCGGGGGCATGTAGCTAAGCTGAGCCCAGACCGCTGGCCCACAGAAACTGTGAGGAAGTAAGTGTTTGTTGTTCTAAGCCACTAAATTTTGAGTAATTTGTTACACAACAATACAGAGCAATACAAAGCCGTCTAGGCAACAGGCATGAACTGTGATAAACACAAAGTAGTCTGAGATGACAGATGCCTGTGAGGAGACCCAGGTAGAAACAGGAAGATCAGGAAAGAGTCATCTCTACCAAAGGATAATGAATTCCTAAGGTACTACCTTCACATGGGGGGAGGGAGACAGGTACACTGTATACTCAAAGATCTGCTCCCCACTACTGAGGACTTGACTACGTCTAGAGCTTTCCATGGCTCCTTATGTACTATTTCAAAAACTAACTTCACTGCCCTGTGTTATTGACTTACGTTGGATATATACAAACATAAATATATGGCATATTACATAACGTATATTTCAAGAGAGGTTGTTTGTTTGTTTTGTTTACCCTGGACACCAAAAGCATCTTTACTATAAAACACATATGACATTCTGAAAATGAAATAAAATATCATTGATATGATTAGTGTAAAACTAATTTGCATTAAAACGTTTCCTTTAGGAGTTGAATTTTAAATAGCTTTTACTAAAATCAACAACAAATACCAACTGCTGGCAGCTGGATCCCATGCCAGGGACATGTTGCATGCATGCCAAAAATCCCAAGAGGAGAATGAAGGAGAAGGGACTGTAACATGGCACCCCTTCGGGGGGTGATTCTCACTTTCTCTTTGTGTGAGACTCGCTGAGGTAAGCACGCATACTCGATAGCAAATTTAAAACAAAACAACACCAAAACCTAAGACCCTGAAATAACTGTCATGGTGTCAAACAGTAGAACTCAATACAAGGAATCCACAACAAACGTTACTAAAGTCCAGTTTCTGCCATTAACTTCTCATGCAAAACTCTACTGAAATTAGCAGAATGATGTGAACAAAGCCAACAAAAGTTTGCCTTTGTAAATCACCTTACCCGAGTGAGAGAAGTTCTTTTCTAACTTTATTTACTTCAGGTTCTAAAATGGCTAGTTTACTTACCATCTAGAAGGCTGGGGAGAATGTAAATCCTCGACCTCAACGGGAGTTGTTAACACACGATGGTTTACAACATTTAAATACTTCTCAATGTGAATCTGTTAGAGAAAAGTCAAAGTTTAGGCCATTAGAGTGGACTTAAGATACTCAGCTAATTTCTCCATTTCATTAGGTTAACACTCTGAATCGTGTAATTAAGCCAAAAAACACAACATGCTATGTGTTATTACATGCCTAAGGTATCATTAGACATCTCAAGGCCAAATTACTTCAACTGCCTTAAACAGCACAATAAACAACTGAGACTCAAAGCTAAAGTGACCTGTGGCACTCTTTGCAAATGAAATTGTGCACAATAGTTAGCAAATTGCTTAGCCAGGTACATCTTGTGGGCAATACAGACATCTTTCTCTTACAGGAACTTCATGCAAGCATCTGAGGAAAGCAATTGGCCTTTAGGTCGCCGATTATTTAAAATGGCTAACTCGCAGACTCCAGCTGGGCCAGCCCTCTCACCATCAGGTAATACAGGACAATGATATGCTGGTCTGATGAGGCCACAAAACATACCGCCTTTGTCACAGCCTCAGGAGAAGAGAGATGAGGCTGGTAACGCAGCAGAGGAAAAGACTGACCTTATTTGGAAGATAGACCCCATTTGCTAATGTGTCCTTGTTTCATAAATGGTATCACCCAGTCTAAAGACTGGACTTCCCCCTGCCCTTGGATCTGTTCATAATGATGAAGTCTCTGTACGTTTGATTTCTCTGTTTCCCAAAGAAATCTTTTTTTTAGTTCTATCCACTTGATTATAATATAACAACAAAAACCAACAACAACAAAAACTCAGAAGTCATTAGGGCAAAGTCAACTCTTATTTTTTTCCAAAGTCTTGTAAAGCCCAGAGAAAATCTGTGTTGTATTGATATGAATTCTTTTGGGTCAGGCATATTGTTGGACTGATAGTAATTATTTTTATGCTGTAAGTTATTTTAATCATATCACATTTTAGGAGTTGCCACTGCATGATCTTATAGTTCATCTCAAAATCTTTGTGGAATGTGATAGGATATAAATCAATCAGTTAATAATCATCATTATTGTTTTAAAAAGTAACAGAGCGAGAATGTGATGACCGTCCTCAATCCAGCTCTGTTACAGAATTACACAAGGTCCTATGAGAACCACGATTCTTTCTTCAAGAGGTGTCTTTGACTCCTTCCAGTATCTTATTTAACATCCAAAGCTCTACTTACTCTTAACCCCATTTCAGTCCTTTTGATTGCCGTTTCAAGATTATGAATGTCTAGAGTCGCTCCTTCTTCCTCAGGTGGGAATTTTGTTAATTTCTCCCTTAATTGATAAAGGTCTTCATGGACCTGTGGGTATAAAAAATATAAAATACTGAAAGACTGCTCGCACAGTCCACCGACAGCAGCTACTTAAGATCTGCAGCGTGCTTGACTTGCTAGACCCGGAAACTTGATTTATGTGATTCATCGAAAAGGACCACCTCTGTGGTTCTAAGACATTCTTTTTCCTCTCTTTTTTGGGAGAAGTTTTTGCTATAGGGCACGTGCACCCGCTGGAGAGGCAGAGAGACAGAAAGCGAGAAATAACCCCCTCCCCCAAGAGGGATAGCAATCCCTTCTCCTCCTTTCACCTCTAGGGATCTTGGGCACGCACGCACATGCGCCCGACGTGAGTTTAAGCCACCGGGTCCGGGACGCGAACCGCGATCGACTACATGGGAGTCCAGCAATGTAATCATTATGCCAACTGCTGGTCCCTAAGACATTATTTATTTAGAATGTTCCAATCTTTTTTCTCAGATTTTGAAAAATGAAGCTTCCATACAATTTCTGTTTTGCCTTCTCCTGTTAGAAATAGATGTGAACTATAACTCAAATGGCTTCTGCTTTCTGAGGTGGTAAAGCATGTGAGAGCGAGAGCAAGTTTGTGCCAGACCCCAATTTCTACAAATCGGTTAAGAGGGAACATAGCAGGAAACGTCCAGCAAAGAGAAATTCTAGCAGAAGCAGTGCCTTTCAAAAGAATATTAAATGTGTTCACAGGGCCTGTTGGTTTTCCCACCCTGGCTGCACTGTCCCCACTCACGGCTCTGAAAAAACAGTTCCGTAGGCACTGTGGCCTTGGTTTTGTTTCATATATTTCTTTTACAGAGAGAAACAAAAACAACCCAAGAAGAAAAAGCAGTGTGTTATTACTTTAACACTTTCCTGCCATTTGTATTTTCCTTAGAAATAAATCTCTTTCCAAGTCAGGCACCTTCAGAATAAAACGGGCACCATGGAATTCGAAAGTACAAGATTCTCTGCATTCCTATTAGAAACCAAACCTGAGATAAATACAGATGGCCCCAATTATTATATGGGCTGCTGCCACAAGAAAGACATTTTGTTATGCAAATTTATGAACTCAACACCTGTCTCTGCAATAGTCACACCACTAGCAACCGGCAGGACGGGCTGCTAAAGGCATTTTGAAACGGTTACTTTTCCTCTGTTGATATAACTGGACTCGCACATTGCTCTAGCCTGGGCTATTGATTCCTCTCAAATGTTCAAGTGCAGTCAAGGATTCCAAAGGTCAGAACTTGCATCTTTTCACTGACGGGCGGCGCAGTCTGGCAGACACATCTGGTTATTTGTACTCTGCACAAATTGCCATGTAAAGCCTGCAGGGCCAAAGACTGGAATCTGAGCACACCTACTGCTGGCTTGTAGGCACCAAGGATGAAGATGTACTTCTTTCAATTGTTCCGTCCAAATTATTACTACAAGGTGACTTGCCATCTACGGTCTGAAAACATTTGGGAAGGACAGAGGCAGTTAAAGGTGAGGCCTTTCCAGGCCCATGTTTTTTGGTTTCTCCTTGAATGCTCTGGCTTCATTTCCTCGTATTTACAGCTCTGTGGATCTTCTTCCGTAATTATGTCAGTCACCTGCTGGAGGGAGTAAAAGTGGTACTGGATTGCTCATCAGGGTACCAAAGATCTGTTTTAATTTTCTTTTTTAGATCTCACTGCTATGGACCACAATGCTTCCTAACTGTGAGATAAAATGAGGGGACTTCAAAAAGTGTGTGGAAAAATGGAATCCAAGTATGAGTTACTTCGATGTAAAAAAAAATGAAACTCATGCAAAGTTTTCATAGTATTCATTTTCCGTGACCTTTCCTTTTTTTAAATAGAATCACTTATTTTGATCATCATTACTCTTTAGTTTGCTTATGCGCTCACCAGAGAAAGAGAGAAAGCAAGCTGCCAGGTCCAGGACTTGAACCATAGTCACCCACGTGGGAGTCCAGCACCTTAACCACCACGCCACCTGGTGCCCACCCCATGAATTGTCTGAAGACCTCTTGTATGTACTAGGCCTTGCACATAATAAGAATTCAATAAAAAGCAGCTGAACATCCCTCTGAACTCTATTACTTCCCAGTCATGATTTCCACGTATATCATCCAAATTTTTAGAACATCTAGTTTCTTCATTAAAAAGGCATAATTACCTTACTTATCAGAAGTGTTGAATGAAAATGAGGTAATATATATGAAAATAAGTCAGTATAACCTTAGCCAGAGAGATATGAACTGTTTCTTCCTTTACCAAACTGAATTTGAGAAAGCTGCTTAGCCTCTGAGGAGCTTAGTAGGAGCTTGTTCTTACTGGGGAAATGGGGATAATGACTCTACCTTACAACTGTGGCAAGGGTAACATGAGTTAAAGCCTGTGAAGTGCTTTATACAGTGCTAGCCATAGGAGGGCACTGAACAAATGTTAACTCTCCCCTCCTGAACTGTAATACCCTCCTGAAACTCCTTGCACATAACTGATACCCAGTAAATACTCATTGAATTGAATTGCTCCCTTAATCTTTCTCAAGAGCTTTTTACTTTTCTAGCCGGATATTTCCTCTTCCCCTCTTAATAACCACCCATCTGTTTGTATAATTACAATAAAAACAAGTACTGTAGGAAATGTCATCCCACACTTGGGTAGGGCAAGAGATTATTTTCTAAATCTCTGTTCTTCCTGCAAATAAATCCAGTCTCCCTACTGAATTTTACATGTCACCCATCATCTCCGTGTTCATCAAACACATTGCTTTCTATCAAGTTTCTACTTGGAGAAAGATGATCATTTTGACAGTTTGGGGACAGAGCTCCTTAATAAGGAGCCCTTCAGAGATTTAATGCAACAAAGATTTGCTCTAGAATTAAAAAAAAAAAAAAAAGAAACAGACTGCATACTGTTGGAAGCAATATAAAATTCATTTTATTCATCTCTGCTAAAGATAGAGTATGGCTGAGTGGTTCTTACCACTTCCAGTTTAACCCTCTTCACATTCCTATTGTTTTGGTCTTGCGAATCAGACATTAGGGATTGATAAGAAAGCAAAAATATCAAAATGTCAATTTAGCTCCACTATTCCACAGTTGGTGTTAACATACAACTTTGGATTGGTAAAATACTATTTCCAAAACTAATTAAAAAGCTCATTTTAATTGCAAGACCAGGCATTCCTTGTTACATACATACACATTTAATGGTTGGGTCAAGCAAACATTTATAAAGATATATTAAAAAGATATTACATTAGTATTAATGAAACATAAAAGCAAAGCTCCTAAGAGTTCCTAATTAAAAACAAAACAAAAGAAAACACATGGGAAACATCTTAGAGTCACCACCATACTTCAAGATTCTCTCACAAACATGCCATCACCCTGGGCGAGTTTTCTCTTTGTATTTTACATTCTTCTACAAACTGGGGCTAAAAATAATACCTGCTTAATAATGTTGTTGTTAGGACTTAATGAGATCATTCAAAGCTCTCAGCACAATGTCTAGATCTCAATAAATGTTGGCTATTTTCATCATAATGATTATTACCACTATAGTAAAACCTGCCTATTCAGATTAGTTGATGAAAGGTCCATCTGAAATTGCAACATGTCTGAACTTGAAAGTGAAAGAAGTAGCCAACAAAATGCTGCCCCATTGAAATTTATGAGGAGATGGTAATCGTACTTCCTGGACCCAAAATACAAACATGGACGTGATACATGATCTGACAAAGAAACAGAATATTCATGAACAGAACTGCCCTGGAAAATCCAAACATTTCGGGTGCATGTTTTCATAGTAAGTCACACAGAGTTTGTAATTAAAATACTGGTTTGTATTTAAATATTTTCTCATATTTTAAATAACTCTCAAGAGGTTACTTTTACCATCCATTACAAAAAGGCTTTCTAATGCTAAATGTTAACTAAATGTTAAGTGTTAAGTAATGTGGTCCACAATATTTTCTAGTTGTGAGATAGTATGAGGAAACTTTAAAAAGTGTGTGGAAAAATGGAATCAAAGTATAAGTTATTTTGGTGCAAAAAATAATATATATGCATGTATACACACACACACATATATGCATATATATAAATCAATGCATAGTTTTTATAATACCCATTAATTTTTTTAGAATTATTTTATTTAACTTTATTATTGTTATTATTTTTCCAGTTTGATTAGAGAGACGGAGAGCGAGGGCAAGAGGGAAAGTGAGAAAGTAAGCCACCGGGTCCAGAACCTGAACCACGGTTGGCCATGTGGGAGTCCAGTGCCTTTAACCACCATGCTACCTGCCGGCCCCAAAGATAATTTTTATTTAGAGAAAACATCGTATAACTTAAGCATCAAGGTCAATTGAATCTACACATGTCTGCCCAGTTTTAAAGTGGCATTTCATAAACAATCTTATTTTTGAGTATGTATATATTGAAATACAAACTTGTTTTACATTTCTACCTCCTCAGAGTAACAGCCCAAATGCCTACAGTTTAGGGATATCAGTTAGCCTAGTAAGTCACCTTTCAGCATGACACAGCTGACCAGTCAATAACAAACTAGCAATACTCATAAAGATCTAGTTAAGAATGCAGTAGGCTTAGGACCAGCATATGGTGTATTGGTTACGTCATGGGGCTCCCACATAGTTGACTGTGGTTCAAGTCCTGAACCCGGCTCATGTATGTGTGTGCCCAAAATCCCCCCAGGGGGTTGATTTCTCACTTTCTGTCTTTCTGTTTCTGTCTCTCTGGCGAATGCATGTGCCCTATTGCAAAAATCTCTCTCTTAAAAAAAAAAAAAAAGAAAGAAATAAAGAATGCAATAGGCCTGACTTAAAAAACAAACAAACAAAAAACAAAAATGGTTACCATTAATGTTTCCTTTTCTTCCAGGAACTTAGAATAAAAAAAAGCAGCCTAAACTTAAACAGACAGAAATGTACCTAAAACTAAATAATATTAAAGGGTAAGAGATCAGACAAGATCTAATAATAACTAACACTTA